ACGCTGTTTTAGCATATAATAATACTATACACATATCAACTAAATAATAACAGGGCACTTAGGCACAGACTCGCCATTTAACCTAGAACTAGAAAAACAACTTTTAAATAATTATATTTTTAATCATAAAGAAAAAACTCAGTTACTCTTTAAAAGTATAAACGAAAAGGTAATTAAATCAAAGGTAAAAGTTATAAGTAAAGTAAATAAGAATAGGGAAGATATTCCAAAAGTAATTCCTTAAAAGGTGTTTGTAAAAAATAAGCAGAAACAGTCAAAAACAAAAAATAAACATAAACATAAACCAGAAACATTAAAATTCATTAATCGGAACCCAAAAACGGCCAACATCGACCCAACTGATTTTAACACTATTGATAAGATTCATCTGTCAAATATCAAACGTCCAAAAAATATAGATAAAATATCCAATAATATCCATTATTTGCAAGTTGCTTACGTTCGTCCGAGCACCAGACACCTTCAATATAACAAAACATTTGGGCATATTACCCATAAGGTTGGGAGCAGCGAAACTTTAACGTTCCGAGCATACCTTTGTACAATATTATAATTTAGAACCCCTTTACGAACAATATAATAATTTAAATTTACAATATGATAGGTTAAGTTTAATTAGTCATAATAAATCCATGTAGGTATAATAGAAAATTAGAAAAAAACGATTAAATAATAAAGTTCACACAAAAAAAAAATTTAAAAAAAAATAAACAAATAGATATAAGTTTTGATAAAAGTAGTTATATAAAAATAGAAGAGGGCTTATCAACGATTTTGGTACAGTAATAACCCGTAACCTAGATAATAACGATGGCAAAAATTTTTCAAAAATATTAGCAGACATACAGCATGATAGCTCAAATATCAAATCGCAGTATTCAATAAATCATAAAATAATAAAACAATTTAATGACACTCTTCAAGATGTCCAACACAATGAAAATACGTTAAAGGATAAAATTATACAATTAAATGAACAAATACAAAATCAAATTTTTATCTTATTTGCACAAGATTTGCCTAATCAAATTTCACTAGTATATACCACTATACTAAAATTTTAAAAGACCTGGAAACTTCATTAAATTGAATTGAAAATTGAAAACAATTATAAAAAGCAACTTCCGGTAGAAGTAAAATTTGAAAATATTTTGGAGTTAATTGAAGTTAATTGTAGAACAGAACCTGGTAGAATTACATTTTTCCTTTCCCTTCCCATTGATTACGAAACTGATTTTGAACTTTTTCATATTATTCCCATTCCAACTTTGTTTGAAAATAAATTTGTCACTGTTATCCCAAAAGCTAAATACTAACTTAAATCAAAAGAAAACAACAATCTTATTCCATTGAATGACGTATGTAAGAAAGGTATAAAATATCAATGCGCGAAGCACCTGTCTACAAACCAAAACATCACTTGTGAAGAAAATATTGTCCTTCGGGAAAACATTAACTCCTGCACCTATACCAAATTGGAAATAACAGAAAATCATTTGGAAACAATCCTAGAAATAAACCATTACCTGGTAGTTTTTCCCTTCAGTGAAAAACTAAGTTTAAGATGTCATAAAGAAAACCAAGTAAAATCTTCAACCGGAGTCTACCTTATAGAACAGGGAAATTGTAAAATTATCTTCAGAGGCAAAGAACTATTATTTGAAGAAACCTCTTTTGGCAGTCCTACTTTACTAAATAACATCAACCTCGCAATAGAAGAAAAGCAGATACAAAATCTCCAAGTTAAATTGAAAACGCTAAAACTAAAAGAAATGCCAAAAAATGTTTTCACAACAACTGATCAACACCAGCATTCAACACTCAATATTGTCACACCCAGCATTATGACAATAATCATGTTACGATAGCAATCTACCTTATATACAGGGTGTTATATAATTAATGTTATATATTAAAATACTGAATACCTTTTGACTTAAGGAGTAAAGGAAAAATATTTAAAAAAATATTTTTACAAAGATAGAAGTTTTTAATATTTTTTGTGATACGCCACTGGTTACACACTTGGTTTATCTCTATACACTTGTGTTCTGTAAGTACATAGATACCAACCAACAAAGTAGCTGCGCGTTGCAAGATGTAAAAAATTGTTACTAAAAATTTTTCTTGCAAAAAATAAATAAAAACTTAATAAATACAAGTTGTATGCCCTTAAAGCTCTAATACGCTTCTGTATTTATTTGCTTATCCAGCTATTAGCTTAAGCAATGATTAGAAAATTAATTTAGTACCTATTTTAAAAAATCCATAACCACAAAATTATTTTTTTCCTCGGTTTTTTTCTTTCTGTTTACTCAGATGAAATTAGGACCAGTTCACAGGTTAAACTTTAAACATTTAATTTGTGTAAATAAATCCAAAAGCACTTCCCTTAGTTAAAATATTTACAATTTGAGTACATAACCTAAAGTTTGAAAGAAATGCACTAGATTCTGTCATAAAAGTTGACAGATTTAGTTTGAATTTACCTTCAGTACAAAAATGACATAACCAACAATTAATAAAAACGCCAAATTTGCATTGTTAATTTTATAATTTTTGTAATTAAGCTAAATTTAAACAATGTTTGTCAACTTTTTTGACAGAATTTGGAAACGCTGTTGTTACCAACCAGGGTTACAAACCATAACATAATAAATTAAATTAGGCAACCAGATTACCCTAAAGTTCCTAGTCGATCAGTGGCGTACTTTTTGGTAGGATAAAGGTTATTATAAATTATTTTTAGTCTTTGGAATTTAGAAAAAAAGTTTCAGGTGCTTCTTTATGGACCCTAAGGAACAACCCATTTTAATATATAACATTAATTACATAACACCCTGTATCTTGCCATAAAAATCACAAAGAGAAGAAAGAACAATAGAACCAAAGCAGATAATGAAAGAAGAAAAGAAGGAGAAGAAGAAGAAAAACTCAACCCAGTTCCAACCACGAGAGTCAATCTTCCGGGGGTGCTTCATTTTGAGGAGGGAACCTCATTTATTTTGTTAATTCAGTTGTTAGCATTTTTACCTTATTCAATTTATTATAATAATTTTTTAGTCTGTAACCAGTAATCACCCAATAAACTTCAAATTAAAATTATATTATATTATTTTCTAAAACAAAAGTTATTGTTAAGTAAAAATAAATTGTTTTTAAAAACTCTTTTGGGCACTATCGAAAAGAAACCAAGCGCCAAAAACTTTTTCTGGGCTTGGTAAAATTATTTGTGAAGTAACTAATTTTTAATAATGCTCAAAAGGTTGATCATCATTTGGAACTTTTCTCAAAAGCATTGAGAGGGTTCCAAAATCATTATTGATTTTTTGAGCAGCATTAAAAATGAGTTATTTAGCAAATAATTTTGTTTACCCCAGAAGAAGTTTTTGGCGCTTGGTTCCTTTTCGATAAACGTTATCCATATGCTTCCATACATATAGGTATTTGCCATCTCTATCGGATAAAAATTACCTTATCTTTTAACTATATTTTTCCCAAAAAACACTGGGCAGAACTTGCACAAAATTTGGCGGGCTGTCAACACCACAGAACATACAACACTAACCTAAGAAATAAAATAAATACTTTTTATGATAGAGCGGTAAATTTGAATTTTTGTTGGTTGGTTTCGTGTAACCCCTGTTATTAAATCTATTGACAAAGAATATGTAAAATTGTAAAACATGGACAATAAATTTATTAATTTTAATGTTAATTTTTTTACTTTATTTTCCTTAAAACGTATTTTGGGGCTTTATTTATTTGTTTTTCTTTATATAAAAGATCATTTTAGGTATAGATTTTAAAAAAATCCCTTCAAAAAATTTATCCTCGGAACTTAATATTATGTTGCTAAAATGGATTGAAGAGTTTGATTTTACATTTATAATTTATGTATTATGAAGAATAAAAATTTTAGAAAAATTCTATATTAAAAAATTTGTAGACGGGACCAATAATTTTATGTAGCTAAATGTGGGTTTTAAAAACGTTGTTACAACGTTTCTAGCAAAACAATTCTCCAATAATTTTATGTAAATGCAAGTTTTGTGTATTTTAGCCGTATTTTTATACTAAGAGTACCAATGGATGGTCTCGCAAAATTCTTTACAACAGCCATGTGACACCACTTTGCGGTCTCAGACATGTTCTTACATTATAACCGGGAGTACCCACAAGTGGAACTTGGCGCTGTATATTTTATATGGAATTACTGGTAGTACAAACATATGTATTTGTCCTGCGATTTTCATACCTACTGTGGGTACACGCGTCTGTGAGAGCCAGAAAAAACGTTATATCTATTTAATATGGTGGCCAGTGTGGCCGATTTTTTTAACATTACGGTAGTCAACGTGTTAAAAATTTTATTGCAGAGTTTAATTTTACTTTTATAATTAATGTATTATAAAAAAAAATAATCCAGAAAAATTCCAAATTAAAAATTTTTAGTTGGAAAAGTTTAAATAAGTTTGAATGTATGGTACCCAACGTTTCCCAGACGTCTTAACTACGTATTTCCCACTTAAAATCATACATTCAAAAAACGTTTTTATCCAACGATTTAACTACGTATGTCCCACAAATCAAACAAATTATTATACAAATTTTCAAAATTGTCTGAACATAGGTAAACGTTAATTTCTACCAGGGCTAATCTATAAACTCTTTAAGAAATACAGACGTTGTTGGGCAGCACAGTATTAAATTTCTACTATTTACAAATCCTGATTAAGAAAAATACGCCTAATTATACATAAACAAATACAAAAAATGTATTCAGATATTGTTGTAAAAATTTATACACAATAACAGACAGCAATAATTGGTTATACGATTCTCAGGCCACAGATCCATAGCACTCAAACTGCATAAACTACAGAGTTATTTAAGCCATTTAACTTATTTTCGAAAAGTGGCGTTTCAAAAAGTGTCAATACCCACTGCGATAGAAGCAGTTATGTAATTAAACGTACCATCTATTTCTCTTGTAGGGCAACCTGGCTGATGCCCACCATTATTTGGATAAAAATCTATATGACCAATAGGCATTGTATACCCAAACCATTCAATATCAGTATGGATCACATCTACAAATTCAGCATCTTTTTGGCTAAGATGCAAGTTTTCTGGCAAAAGTGGATGTTCAAACTTGGGTCCAGCAGGGTCTAACCCTGTAATGCGACCTAACTTTTCTCCAGTTAATTTGGTATAAAATTTGCCTATAAATGATGCCAATTGGGATCCCAAAGAGTGACCTTAAATAATCAAAATAAAACCTGTTAATTCAGTAATGCATATTTTATTACGTTACCTATTATATGAACTTGTTCTCTTTGTATCCCAGATTTTATTAAAAACTCAGCTATATATTTTCCAACTGGTTTAATATTAGCCGAGGATACATCATATTCCAAATTACCGGCTTTTTGCCAATTAATATAAATTATGTTATGTGTACCTTTTTCAAAATATTTATTTTTAACTATAGGATACCATGGTGAAGTATCATTTGTCGTCCAACCATGAATTAAGACTATTGTTGGTACATATTTTTTTATATTAATATTTTTGACACTCTCTTCAGTTAAAAAGGTACCAGTTTCATCAGATATATTTGTAAAAAGTCTATATTTAACATCATTCTTCTCTGCGTTGGCTAAACTATAATCCACAGGAGGTAAGCTTCTGTAATATTCCTTATGTTGCACTAAATTAAACAAAAATTTACATAAAATACTATATACGATATAATAGTTAAGAAAAACAAACTTTTTCTGTCGCAACACAAGACCAAATTAGTTTATTTTTATCAAGCAATAAACCAATAAATCAGTTAACCTTGTAAGTAGAATATTATAGTATATTATATTACGCGGCGCTACCATAACGTTAGTAACAAACAAATAAATATATATATATATATATTTATATATATATATATATATATATATATATATATATATATATATATATATATATTTATATATATATATATATATATATATATATAAGATATATATAAACTGCGCACCACTAAATGTATCGCAAAAAGTTAGTTCTTTTTCAAAACGATATAACTTTTTGTTTCTTGAACTATTTTATTTTGGTCTGTGTTGTCTGCTTGCCTCATCCTCTGGCAATTCATGCTATAGATATCAAGCTCACGGTTCTTCAAGTAAATTTGTTAAACGGTGAAAAATTTCAATAACTTCATCCAAGCCCCGTTTGTAAAAAAATAAGTTTTTTCTCGTTTTAACTTTGAAATAATGAAGTTTTATGTCTTACCTTGAAACGTTTTCAAATTTTTCGAATTGGAATATTAGCAACGAAAATATGAATTTTTTTCCAAAAGAGGACATTTAAGGGTTTTTTGTAGACAATACACTCAGTCTTTTTAGGAACAAGAAGATAATGGTGAAAGAATGTTACATAAATAATTCTAAACCAGCAAGCAACAAACGTCCATTATTTTCAGAGGGCCTAAGCAAAGACTACTTTTTCAAAATACCATTTTGGTGAAAATTTGAGAAAACTAAACCTAAAGCGATATTTACGTTCGTGACATGTTTTCTTCATAATTTTGCCCTCCTGATTGTGATTTTTGTCAAATTTAAGTTTCAGATAAAACCAAAATCACCAAGAATCAAGATTCGAAAACAATTCCCGGCTGTAAAATGTCTTAATAAAATACGATTGCTGGTTTTAACTATTTTTTAACTGTGTTTTTCATCTTTAGTACGCTATTATCATGTCGCTGCATGATCAAATCGAGGACCAAATAAAAATTAGTTCTTGAAAAACATTTAAAACGCCTGTGGGATATTCTTAATTTTTTCAGTTTGCTTGTTTTTTTTTCAAAATTTTTAAGTTTTTTGCATAAGTTATACCTACCTACCCCTTTCTTACCCAGGTTACTTCCATTCTTCCTTTAAATGATTAAAATACCAATGCCAGACTTTGCTGCAGCTACGGGAATTAACATCTCCAAATCAACGATTCGCATAAGATTGCACGAAACGGGATTCAAGGGTGGCTTTTGGAGGTGGAGGAGTGATTGTTTGAGTTGGAATGGCGATGAATGGAAAGAGTGAATGCTGAGAGATATAGAGATTTGGTTGTTAGTGATATCGTGATCTCTTATGCCTAAATTGTTGCCAATAATTGTTGTTGGTGGACGACAATGCCCGTCCGCACCGCGCCAAGAACGTAAATGAGTATTTAAGGGACCACCATATTGAGAGAATGAATTGGCCACCTTTGTCTCCGGATATGAATCCTATTGAGAATGTGTGGAGCAGGATATAACTGAAGATGAAAGAGATGGAAGGACGCATGGAAAATTTGGACGAATTGGTAAATGCCATTCAGGAAGAATGTGATACCCCAGGAATTTTTTTTTATTTTTTTTTTTTTATTTTTTTATTTTTTTTTTATTTAGCTTCTAAAATATTGTCAAAGTAATGTCAAAGTTAAAGCAAAATTGTTTGTAAAAATCAGAAGATAATAAGAATTATTCTAATATAGATAAAAACATAAAATATGGGTACTTATTATATGGACATGGATATGGATATTATTTAAGATAGTTCCGAAGTTGGAGTGAAAATAAAAATAAAATGTATAAAAACGTAATCCTGTTATTGGGCCCTGGGCCTGTTGGATACGAATAAATAAATAAATAAATAAATAAATAAATAAATAAATAAATAAATTTACAAGGAACTTGGTCGAGGCCCAGGAGGGTTAACGAATTATTACGGGTTAGGGGACGGCCAACGAAATATTGAGTTATTATTGTTATTGTTTGTTACATTTTTTTGTTGAATGTTGTAGTTTTGATTATGATTATATCTTCGCATAAAAATTTCCAAAATGAACAAAAATATTTTTCTTTAACTTTATTACCAATTAGGTAGGTACCTATCAGTGATAAGTTATAACTGGTGCGCAATGTAAATGTAAGTTATGTAACATTATCCTAACCACTCAAACAAATTGCAGTAAGAAACACGCCAACAATCGGATTTTATTAAGACATTTAATACCCGGGAATTGTTTTCGAATTTTGGTGATTTTGGTTTTATCTGAAACTTAAATTTGACAACTGAATCACAATCAGGAGGTCACCAAAATGTCATTTTAAAAAAGTGGTCTTTGTATAGGCCCCTCTGAAAATAATGGAAGTTTGTTGCTTGTCGCTTGTTCAGAATTATTCAAGGAACTATCGTTCACCATTTTATCTTCTTGTTCTTAAAAAGTCTAAGGCCCGGTTTTACAATCGAATGTTAAATGTGCTGATTAACTAATTTAAAATTAAGTATCAACCACGAATTAATTATGAATTAAAAAGTTATGCGTATTTCAATCTATTTTTGTCTTATGATTTGTTAACATGAATTTTCTTTAAAACTATTTAGGTTGGTATTACTATTGATTATATTAGTTAAGTTTAATTCTCGTTCCCGGCTAATGCTTTCTCTCTTGTAAAAGTGTTGTTAAAAGAAGATAGAGCCATACTTGATTGTGTAATATTGGTTATTTATCACTGAGCGTCATTTTGACAGATGGCAATTCCATATTTTCGTTATTTCGTTTTAATACGGTGTTTATTTGTAAAAATTCTTTTTAAAAAACGTAAGTAAATTTGAAATAATACCAATATTAATAATAAATACAACAATTAATTATGTAAAATGGATAACCCAGAAAGAAATGCAAATTTTTTTTCTTTTGAAGAACTTCTTTTGGGAAAACTGGTAGAAAAATATAAAAATATTGTTGAATGCAAAAAGACTGGCAGTATTACTATTATTATTATAGTTGTTTATATTTGTAGTTTGGAAGTCCTAGTTCCATTTCCATAATGTGTAAATAAACCGCCGATATATTAAATTTTTGTTATTATAGAAATAAAATGTTTATTTTCAATAAATTTTCTTTATTTTATAATTATTATATATTAAGCACTATTCAAAATAATTTATTTAAATAAAAAATCACAAGAATTAATTTGACTTTTTAAAAAACAAGTTTACGATATTGTAACAAAAAAGACTGAATTTAGCAAAATATTCATTAATTAATCGTAACCTAGTTTGATTATTTACTAAATAATTCCAGCTTCATCTAAATTCTCTGTTTGCCAATTCTATAGCAATTTCTTGGTCTTCATTTACATAAGGATTTGGGTCATTTTCCTCACAGGCAATTTTATGTAGGACTGCCGTTGCAACATTTCTGGTAAAACCAATGTTTATAAAAAAATTATATAATATAGTTATATTTATATAATTTGTTACCTATTTGTAGGGTGTTCAATATCCTCCCTTATTTCCTCCAAAATATGTTCCACAGTCCTGCGGGATAATCTAAATCGTGAAAAAAAATCTTTTTCATCCCACTCTTCAAAATGATTAGGCCTATGCCGAATTACTTTGGGCCTTCTAGGTTCCTCATCGCTGCTATATGCATTAACGTCATAATCCATTTTTTAATTAAATAAACTTTTTTATTACAAAGGTAGGTATTTGATTTTGCCTTTATTTTTAACTATAGTTGTTTATAAACATTTTTGACATATAAATATTTGGTTATGAAGTTAACGTCGATTTTCGTGTTAATCACTACTTCAGGTACCGATTAACTTAATTTGACTTTAACATGCAGTTTGGCTGCTAATATTTGATTGAAATACGGTTAATAAAATTAACTTCAAATTAATTTCTGATTAACATTTAACATTTGATTGTAAAACCGGGCCTAAGCCTACCAAAAACCATTAAATGTACTCTTTCGGAAAAAAATCATATTTTCGTTGCTAAGATTCCAATTCGAAAAATTTGAAAAAGTTTCAAGGTAAGACATAATACTTTATTATTTTAAAGTAAAAACGAGAAAAAGTATTTTTTTTTCAAACGGGGCTTGGATGAAGTTATTGAAATTTTTACAGTTTTACATATCACCCTGTAGGAAATTAACTTGAAAAACCGTGAGCTTCATACCTATATAAATAACGATCAGCGGCAACGGAGCTCACTTCACATCTAACCCGCAGCAGAGCAGCAACTGCAGCCCAGCAGATAAGACCTGAAGATGGTATATGAGATTGTACGGAAACGTCGTCATACATACGGTTCTTTAGGAACCAAAAACCGACAACACGGAGCAGATCCCGAAAAACCACGGTTTGATAAAACCTACCACTGTGTGTGTCTAAGTGCATTGCGATTGCACGCCGCACAGCGAGGTCACGTCTTTAGACGGTAGATTTCTCCAGACTGACTTGCCGATACATCTCGCCGCTGTCCTGGTCATTTATTTCCTTATAAGTGAACAGTGCCGAGCTTGATGCGTGTCTCCAGTCACCGACTTCCTGACACTGATGAGACCCAACAGGTCGAAACAGTCTGTCTGTCAGTGTTGGTGGGTATGGTTCATTAGTCATTGGACTATACCATTCGGGAGACGCGCTTCGAGCCCGGCGAGATGGAAGGCATATATATATGTATATATATATATATATATTAGGGTGTCCCTTATTTTTATTTGTTTTACGCATACCCTCTAATTATATTTATTACTTGTTTATATACTCCCAGTAAAAATTTCAGCTCATTCTATAAACGGGAACCCGTGCCGACTTGCATCTGAACCCTCCGTTAGTTGCGCGGTATTTTGTAACACCAAACACTTTAAAAAGAAGATATA